GCGGCGACAGGAGTCGTCGGCAGGCTTTCTCGGCGGTTCGACCGATCAATCTACATCGGTCAGACCGACGTTCATCAGGCGGTCAGACCGGCGCAACTACTTCGGTTAGACCGCGATCCATCGATTTCGAGGGTAACTTTTATTTCCGCTAAAAGTTTTTCGGTTTTTGGGTATACCAACCATTCACCCCCCCTCTGGTTGGCTTAGTTCTTGTGATTCGATCCTACACCATTATCAGCTTAGCAACTGCAATCTCATCGATGATGTCTTCACTGTCAAGAAACTTCCTTTTCAGCTCAGGAAATGCTTTGTAATTTGAGTCTCTTGGCTATGATACACCAAACAAGGAAGCAGTGCAAAACTCTTGTTTACTTCTGTAATCCTAGTTCATTTCTGTTAATGTAAATGGAGGGCCCAGGCCCTTTAGTCAAAAAAAGAAAAAACAAGGAAGCAGTGGGCGACCTCATTTATTATTTTTACTGTCTCATAAGAAAAATTTCCAAGTCAATGTACGTTAGAAATTGACGTACTTTTGTTATTTTGATAACACTGAGGCGCTGGTTGGTATGTTGTTGAAACTTAAAGTGTAGTCCGCGTAAAGTGTATCATGTTACGTTGTTGTGATATTGTTTGCTTCTAAGGCTAATCATTCGACACGATTACTGTTGCTGATCATTAGATATTGAGTTAAAAGCATAACCTAATCATATTGCTATTACTCCATTAGAATAAGGAGAGAACTATATAAAGGAGCTCATGTACCATATTACGTACCAGCTATATCTTTGTTCTTGTCGACAGCAAAGCTCTCCATGGACGCTGTAAAAAGATTATGGAATTGCTAAACATAAGCTGAGTAAATTTTTTTGTTTTCAATCGAATCCCTTCCTGTTTGATCTGCGTTTTGATAATGCTTTGAATTTTTATAATCATTTCCATTCCGAACGCGCGTTGCATCACGCATGGCGAGATGCATTGCCGTGCGCAACCACGAGGGGATTAGCCTCTTAGTTTTCTACCGATCTTTCCGTCAACGCCTCGCGTTGACACGTACGCCGGTACGCTCGCAGCCGGGGGTTGGACCCTGGGTGCCTAGCCAGACGCCCACGCACTAGGTGGGCCATGTTTACGAGGCTTCTCTGCTCACAACTAGTAGGAACAAAAAGAATAAAGTCCACTAATATCCCTTAAGTATAAGTCGAATTCAATTTGCGCCTCTCAACTGCGGTGCAATTCAACTCACAAAACCAATGCAAATATAGTACTTTGGCAGTCCGGGATAGCGGTTTGGCACGTTAATTTGGTCCACTCATGCTAACGTGTTGCTTGCGTGGCAATTTTATCATAAAAAAGAATTCGTGGGCCAAATGTCGAGGAGGGTAATTTCTTGGAACAAGTTCACTTGTTGTCCCTCAACTTTACGCCGAGTCTGTATAACATCCCTAATTGCCAACAGAAATATCTACCCCTCAAATAATCAAAACCGTGTAAAATAGATCCCATGGCAGTATATATGGGTGTTTTGTTGACGTAGCATCCTACTTGGCATTCTAGGGCCCACATGTAAGTGGGAAGAAGAAAAATGTGGGGTCTGCATCCATTCTTTCCTCTCTTCTCTTTTCTCTTTTCTCTTTTCTTTCTTTTCTTCTTCGGCGAGCCTGGGAAGTCATCGTCGCCGGGCGGAATTCGCTCGCCGCTGCTCCTCCTACGGCCACCTCCATCGTTGTTGCCCCCTCCTTCGCCCGTTGTCTGCTCTGCCTCGCCTACCTGCTTTACCCGCCGCTACCCCACCAAGCGTCTACCCCCTCTGCCGCCCGCTCGCTCGTGTCGTCCCTCCTGCCGCCAGTTGAAGAGAAGAAAGAAAAGAGAAAAGGAGAAGAAAGAAGAGATGGGAACCCACATTTTTTTCTCACTTACATGTGGATCCCATAATTTTTTGTATTATTATTTTGATGACTAGGATGCCACATCAGCGAAATTAGAGATCCTATATTGCTATAGGACCCAAATTACACGGTTTTGTAAAATTTAGGGGGTGAAGATTTCTGGTATTAGCTGATGAGCTTATTCTTAAATTCTTTCACCCCATGGGCCCTTTTCCTCTTTTGATCTCCTCCTCGCTGCACTATTGTAACATTCTGAAAATGTGTCATTTTCTAATCTTGCATCATGCTGATTCTTATGTTCTTAATAACCTTCTAAACCTAGGAAAATATAATTAGAGGGACCTCCTAAAACTAACTCGCATAAAACCTCTCTGGTATTTAATCCCTTTTGTGTTTTTCATTTAAAAACATATTTGGTATTTCTTGTTGAAATTCTATTTTCAAATATTAAACCTTCTTTCGACTAAAACTCTTTTATTCAAATTTAGTTTAAAAACCATTTTTATTATTATGAATTATGGTCCAAGAAATCCTCCAATTTTTGTCCTTGAACCTAGACCAAAGTAATTCCAATCTCATTGGAATTAATTGTTAGCCCATCCTTTGATCTTAAACCCATCCTTTGATTCTTGATCCAAATATCCAAATTCCTCCTTTTGATCTAGCCACCAATTTAATTTCTGTAGCTTGATTTCCTCTTTGGCACAAGAATTGTATTATTGCAAATATTGTGAATAATTGCTCTTGTGCTAAGAAAATTCCAATTTATATTCTTCACTCAACTTCCCCTTTTAGCCACAAATATACATAACACCAATTTTAGAGTTCAAATCCTATTTATTGCCTTCAACTAATTCCCTTCTATATTCCCAAAAATATTTTGAGGAATATTATTAATTTCCATTCCTATTTGAGTGCTTCCAAATAAATTCCCTCAAACTCCACCTCTAAATATTGCACTCAAATAAATTAGGAAATATCTTTTGTGAATTCTTTCCAAATTCAAATTCTTTGCAAAACCTAGTTATCCAAATCAAGTATTCAAATTAGGCTTCTTTCTTTTTGTCATCGGGCCGAAACTCCATTCTTTCTTCCTTTTTGGCCCAATCCCTTTTCTTTTATCTTCTATTTTCCTCCTCCTTCTTGGGCTGCCGGCCCAGCTAAGCCGAGCCGGCCCAAATCGGCCCACACCCCAGCCGAGCCGCCGCCGCCTCCTGGTGCGCGTGCCGTGCACGGCGCACGCCGCCGCAAACGTCGCCGCTAAGAAACATAAATCGGCGCCGACATCCTCCTCCTCACGCCACTGTCGTCGTCGTGTTCCTCTTTCCCTCCTCCTCCAGAACCGCCTCTCCCCACCGCCTTCTCTCCCTATAAATAGCCGGCCATCCCTCCCCTTCTCTACATACAATCAGAGCTCCATCTCTCTTTCTCTCCCATGTCCGGCCATGGCCGCCACCACCCGATCTCCCTCACCGGAGCTTCGCAAGCCAAACCATCGCGCCATCGAGTTCGCCTCGACGAGGTGATTCCATTTTTCCTGTTTCCCCCTTCTCCCCCACCCCATAGCAACCACCACCGCCACCTCTCTTTGCCGCCGAAGATAAGCTCTTCTACTCGCCGTTCCGGCCATCTCCCTCACTCTCTCCGCCAGCCACCGCCCTCCCCGGGTGCGTCGTGCTCGGGAACATGTGTGGCCGCCGACGTCGCCGCCTTTCGTCCACCGGAGAGCCGGCGCCCACTCTCTCCCTCTCCTCTGTAGCCGGCAAGAAAAAGAAGAAGAGAGGAAGAAGATGACGGGAGAAAGAAGAAGGAGAAGAAAAAGAAAAAGAAAGACTGACAGGTGGGCCCCTGCACAGTGACTTTTCTCATTTTCTAGATTTAATTCAAATCCTATTCTTTAGAAGCACATATCTCCTAAACCGTAGATCCGATTCTAGTGAAACTTGGACCTAAATTCATCTAAATTCAACTCTTCATTTTGATATCAAATTTGCTATTTTAAGATTTTATTTGAATTTCCTTAATTTATTCAAATGCCATTTGAATAAATATTTGATTTAATCTTATAATTGAATTTACAATTTAAACTTATATTTGCTTTTCAAATATTTTCTTTTATTTCCAAAATGCCCGTTAGCCACTAAAAAGCCGCCGGTTGGAACTTTACGCCTTCCATGGGGACGTTTGCGCGGTCTACGGACCTCAACGTCGGACCGTTGGTTGTAAAGCCCGGCAAAAACCAAACCTAAGGTCGAAGTGCTGCTCCTGGCACCCCACGCCTTGATGCGTACAGCGGTCGGAGCTTCACTATCCCCTCGACCTCCATTGCACGCCGCACAGTTAGCTCTTGAGCTCTGTGTGATCCTAGCCGCTCTGCCGCCACTCACGGTTGTCGGAGTAACACTTCCGCCCCACTAAACCTGCACCCACCTCCTATTCTTCTAGCCGATATGTTGTCTATCGACACGGCTAGAAATAATACCAAACCTAGTCGTCATGTTGTCCAACTCTAGCGACGACTAGCAAACACCCAAAACCCTAGCCGATATTTATCCTACCTCGATATCGGCCTAAACAACTAAACCTTAGCCACTATTCTATCAAAGCCAACCTTAACCCATATTAGCCACATGCCTATTTAACCATATCAACTATTCAGTATATTTCCTATCGTCCAAACCACGAGAGCCTCCACATAAAATATAGAGCCTAGCCGAGATACTGTCCTACTCCACAGTCGACTCCCATATAACTAAACCCTAGCTATTATACTACCAAAACCTACCACTAGCAAATACTAGCCCCATAATCCCTATACCCTATAAAAGAGATAGGTTATACCTTAAACCCTAGCCCTCTTAGTCGTTTATCGTTTTCTTATTATTTTATGGCTTTTATTGAATTTGGTTCTTCCTCTTTCTCAGTAAAGACTATTGTCTTTTGGATGGCAACCTATGGTATTTCGAGAATCGTATAATCAGGTTGCCTATCTTGGATTCATTTGCGTTGGAGCAAGGCAAGTTATTATTCCTCCCCTTGAGCATAATTATCCTATATTCTATATCTCTATTCTATGCATTAGCCATTCATGATTTTGAATGCATAACTTGAACATATAGCAAACCAGTTATATGCTAGCTTTTGCTTAGCCCTGCCTAGTTAGATTGCATAAAACATAATGAACTTAGATTGGGACAGTACGCAAGATTTGGTTGATTTCCGGGTGGCTAGTACTGTCTCGGTCGATATAAGTTTACCAAGTACTTATGTCAAACGAACGAGTACGACCGCAGCTTCTAGAATGGGGACAGACCTAGATATTATGTTAATTAACAGTGTGGTACCTCTGTACAGTGGTTCTTATGTAAGTCCTCGCGAAGGAGGCAAATATATGCCGCGAAGGGCAAATGTGATATTTACCGAGGCGCAGGTAAATATCTTGATTATCGCGCGATGTGTGTGTGAATTTATGAAAACCTGGTTGAGATGACATGGGGTCTCTCATCCAGTTCTCTCTAAAAACCCCGGGAACGCCAGAACTCCTCTCGCTGCTGATAACGTTACATTCAGAGCGCATGGGGATTAGAGTTCATGGAACAAGTGCCACAATTGTTAATAACCTAATACTGGGCCATGACTAAGCTAATGATTATTGGCAAGTCGTGGACTGCGGGTAAAGCGTACATCTACTGCAGTATGAATATCCTTGAATCTATTCGAATAGCCGTGCTCACGGATTGAGCATCGGGACTCATATGGTACTTTGGTTAGAAATATAATTCAAGATTTTCTTAAATACTGTTGCATATCAAGCATTTCAGGATTTCTACCTCTTTATTCTCAGCTTTCTGCAAGTAAACCTAGCTCTACACAGATATTACCATTTCATATATTCATTATTGGTTAATATAATAGCTTGCTGAGTACGTTGTACTCACCCTTGCTTCAACCCCTCTTTTTCAGAGTTTAATTGGAGTTTTTGCCGAAGCTGGGAGTTCAATCACATAAGTTAGTTCCCTTTAAACCTAATCTTCAAGTCTAGTGTAGTTAGATGGTTTAATTCTATAGTAAAACGGCAGAGTTGAGTCATCGTATAGCCTCTGCTGTAATAGTTAGCCACAAACTTGTGAATGTCCTATTATTTTATATAAAGATATCTCCTTTGAAGTCTTTACCAAATGTATGCGATGAAGATCCAGATTGTTGAACCTGTATCAATCTACTGATCCAGAGCTTGATACAGTTAAACATGTCGGTTTCTGAATCGTTAGTTTTGGGATCCGACAACTATGCATTAGACGAACGATGGCGGCGGCCTAAGTTTGTTCAAATTTATAGTACTATAAAATGTTATATCTAATTCTAAGTTTTTATATTTTGAGATGGAGGGAATACCAGTATTTGGGGGGAAAAAATTCTAAAGTGAAGTAAAGGTAAGAAAAAACGTGAAAATATTAGTTAAAGGGGTCTAAAATAAATATTTGGTAACTAGAGGGACTAAATCGAAATTCACTCGAAAAATAAACCCCTCCCTCTCCCCCATCGTACGCAACGAAGCCGATTGCCTAGAGGCGGTCTCGCCGCGCCGCTTCCCGTGGAGCCCAAGTGGTGGCGAGGGTTTCCGCCGCCTCTCGTCCGCCTCGCCGACCTCGGACCCCGGCCTCCATCCTCCTCGCCGACGACAGCCAACGTGTGCCGCTCCCCTTGGAGCCCAAGTGGCGGCGAGGGTTTCCGCCGCCTCTGCTCCGCTCGCCGGCGACAGCCCCATGTTCTCGATCGCCGTCCCCAGGTCCGCTTCCGGAATCTCATCCTTTGCGGGCTGCTACTGCTTCGCGCGTCAAGCCATCACCAGCTGCTCCCTCCGTCTCCGGAACAACAATATTCTCTCCGACTGCTCACGACGGGAGAGCGGCGCTTCGGCGACGGCGATCCCGGTACGCACACGCTTGAGAGGCTCCCACTTTCTTCATTCTGCTACTGTACGGTTGGATTCGTGCATAACAATCACTCATATCTCTATGTCTAGCCTGCCCATGATTATTTATTAAGTTCGAGTTGGTTGAAGAATCCACTTTGTTTTGTGGGGAACTTTTACATGATAGAGAAATGAATGGTCTTCTATTGTGAAACACCACGCTTGATTTTACAGGATGGTGTTGTGTCGTCTCGTTTCTAGGTTTATAGACGGAAGGACCTGCTTTTTATGTGACCTGTCGTTTGCTATAGAACCTCATGGTTTATAGTTAAACTGCACATTAGATCTGTCAGGAGCAGTTGACAGCAGTACTGAACGTTTCTCGAGAATGTTGAAATGTTGGTCTCATCAGTATTGCACATTTGTTGACAATCCATAACTATTAGTGGCCAATGTGAACATTTCTTGTAAAATGTCAATCGCAGTAGCAGGCTAGCAGCAGTAATGTACATTTCTTCAAAATGTAATTCCAAGGTTTGTGCACTATTTACTTCAATATAAGGACGCATAGCATGCATTCACTGTTGCACCTCAATTATCTATGCGACTATTCTAGTTTTATTTTATTTTTAGATGGAGGAGCAGCAACAGGAGGAGAACAGCCCAGTGCTTTTCCGCCAAAATGCAAATTCTTCTCTTGGCTTGCTACCCAGAATAGGCTATGGACGGCTGACAGATTGGGGAAACAAGGCTGGCGAAATCAAAAGGTTTGCCCCCTCTGCCGCACAATCGACGAATCAGTGCTTCACCTTCTGGCCAAATGTAGAGTCACTAAGAGGATTTGGACAGAAATCCAGAGATGGGCGCATACTGACCTTCAAATGGACAAATGAAATGACTGCCCCTCGATCGAACACTGGTGGAACCTCGTCGTTGAATCCCCCAACACCCCAAGAGCCCCTCTGCGAACTCTACTGATGCTAGTCACCTGGGAGATCTGGGGGGAGCGTAATGCAAGGATCTTTCGAAGCACAGCCTCAACACCAGCCTCAATTCTTGCAAAGATCAAAGAGGAAAGCAGAGCTTGGGTCAAAGCCGGAGCGGCTAGGCTGCAGGAGTTCGGATTTTTGGGAGATATCACCTAAAGAACTTCTCTCCTGCGGGCCGGTCTTCTGACTGGCCCTGTACATACTTTGTATAATTTTTTCCCTCTCTATTAATATATGAGGCAAAGCTTTTGTCCTCCTTTCAAAATAAAAAACAGCCCAGTGCTTTTCAAGCAAGCACCGATGGCAAGCTGCTATCCAATGTGCTCAAGTACATGTAGATCATCACCTCCTCTACTCCCCAAGCATCCGAGGGTAATGGCACTAATCATATGTATCTTAGGGGCAGATCCAGGAAAGAAAAATGGGGGGGGGGGGGGGGGCGCTGAACTGAGCACCAACATAAACTCATTATCTCACATACAAGTCAAACATGGCTGTAATAATTTACAGTGGTTTCATATGAAAACATTGAGAAAGAAAAGGCAAAATACATCACACGACAGTCCAATATTCACTTGGCTCTAATCTCAAACAGATACTCACAATTAGTTTAGCACTCCTAGATCACTAACAATATCTGAGCAACAAAACTGCACTCGCCATTTTAGGTTGCCTTGTATTCTCATTGTTCTCTATAGTAGGAGTACTACTGCTGCAACTTTAATAACATTCAACAATGTTCTTTTTGACATGTTGCAAACTTGCAATTCTAGGAGCAGCCGAGTAGAGATGATAGATTACTAGCTGACACACAAAATTTTAACTACGCTAAATTTCCAATGGGTTGAATCATTCCAGATTTTGAAAATTTAAAGCAAAATTAAGCATACTTTCTTGCCTTTCTTCACCGGCTGGGTTGTCGTTGCAGCTCGCCGGCACACCGCACGCCCTCAGCAAGTTAGGCAAGTCGCAGGCAGTAGCTTGCCGAGTTGTCGGCTAGCCGGAATGCCGGTTATTGCGCTGCCAGTACCGCTGCGTGGCCTGCCCTGCCTTGCACAACAGCCCTCACCACAGGCCCATGGCACACCGGTGCCTTGCATGCCGCGTGCCGCTGTGCCGTCAGCTCGCATTGTCTGTGCTCGCTAGGGTTGGGGATGCCGCCATGCCGGATGCCATGTACGGGATTGGGGATGACCTGACTGGATGGGAGATTTTGGATTTATGTTAGTTCGGCTGATGGCTAAGGCTGTGTTCGGCACCCCTTGTTCCCAACTCCTCTCTCTCGTTTTCCGCGTGCACGCTTTTCAAACTGCTAAACGGTGTGCTTTTTACAAAAAGTTTCTATACGAAAGTTGCTTTAAAAAATCAAATTACTCCATTTTTGGAAAAAAAAAAGCTAATACTTAATTAATCACTAATGGACCGGAGGGAATGAGTTCCCATCGAGGACATGTGAACGTAGCCTAAGTTGAAAGCCCAATTAGTGAACAACTGGACGTGTGCACCTAGCCACCTGGCACAATTGACATTGCATTACTACATTCACTGGGTAGTCTGGCCCAATCGCGTGTCTTCTTCAACCTTCAGCCATCAGACAGCTTCAGCAGCCCCTACTTCTCAGTGTTTTTTTTTTCTGGGGTAGGGGGGGGAGGGGGAGGGGGCTCCATGGGTCCAGCGGGTGTAGGGGGGACTTGAGCCCCTCTGCACCCACGTTGATATGCCCTTGGTATCTCTTGCTCTCAAAATGATATAGTATGCTATTGTTTGTGTTATAAGTATTGTATACTACGGCATGCTGAACTTTGAGTTTAGGATGAAGCTGTTGAGTTATGTTTCGGAGCATATAGACTCAAGAGCATTTGACACAAGAAACACCTATCCTCTCCAATAAAGTGCACTTTCATTCATTTTTAGCTACATGGCGTTTCCTTTTTCTTCAAGTAAAAATAGGACTGCATCAAATAAATTGGTCATTACAAACTTTCATTCCACTTATCTGTTCTTGCCCTATTGATATGCAGTCACATGTTGCAGTAGATGATGATGAGATGGTATGTGGGGAGGTCCCTGCGTACAAAGAGAGGGTGGATTCCCTTGCAGCGCGCCCAGGGTATGGATCAGCCGGAAAAAAGTTGTCCATCTTTACAAACTATTTCGGGGTATCTGTGAATTGCCCTGCAATCTATCTGTACAAAGTAAGTAATTTTCTCCTGCTTGCATTGATATCTCATATTGGAGACAAAAAATGATTAGTGAAAAAAATGTTAGTTATGTACTGATTTTCCCAAAGTAAGTGTTTTGCTCCTGATTGCATTGGTTTATACATATTGGAGACAAAATGATTAGTGAAATAGAATATCGGTTATATACTGATTTTCTTTGGTACACTTAATAAATAAGACATGCCCGTTTCCGCTAGTTCCTTAAATTGTTCTTATGATTTTTGATATATTTTGTACTTTGCTCAACTTAGACTTCATAAGAATAATTTTTCTGATGATTGTTGTTTCACGATTTTTTGAACTTCTTTATTAGGTTTCCATCCACCCTGAGCCAAAATTAGGAGTTACTAAAAAAGCTGTGCTTTCAGAGATTGTTAAATTGCATGGAGAAAGAGTTTTCAGAAACAAGATACCTGTTTTTGATACTAGAAAAAGCTTGTATACTGCACATGCACTCCCTATTGTGTCAGAAACATTTGTGATCAAACTTGATGATGATGAAGACAAAACAAGGTGAGCTTAGAATCTTTGTTAACGTTGTATTTTCATAAGAACACACTTATCATCTGTGAATTTTAACTGAAATTTTGGGCGTCTTAAATTTGCAGGACAAAAGGAGTTCATGAGGTCACAATTCAGTTTTATAAAAGGATAGACTTACAAGATCTACAAAGCTACCATACTAGAAGGAATGCCTCCCAAGGTGCTATACAGGCGATTGACGCTGTTGTTAGAGTGCTGCTTTCTAGGTAAATTATCAACATATAGAGGTTATTGTGAATTATAAACCAACATTTGTTATAATATCAAGCGCTACATTAAATTATCAATATTGTTTAGCCATATTGCTGTTGACCTTTTCCAGCTACAGTTGTCTCAGTGCTCCTGGGACGATCTTTTCGACTAAGTTTGGTCCCATAATAGACACCCAGGAGGGATTGGAGTTTTGGAGAGGGTGCTACAAGGGTGTGCGCTTGTCACAGTTTGGTCCTGGTCTAAATATAGGTACATGTGTAGGCCTTTTTTGGGTTAATGTAGGCTCTTTCATACACTTTTTAAGTTATCTCCTTTAATATTATATCCAAAGTTCACTTGGCAATACTATTTTTTTGCAAAATTTGCAAAAAGATGTATTTGTGTCCTTGATGAATCAAAGAGAAATTGTCACTATTTTTTAATTTGGCAAAATTTGCTTCAGGATGTCTGAAAAATATGGTCTTTATTGGCACACACTGTGAGAATGCAACTTTGCTCGTGGACACTGTTGCTTTATGTTTATTTGCCATTTAACATCGTGCACAAATGCACATTGTTTTATTATTTTCTGCAATTTCAATGAAATAAAACTGACAAATGACCTGATACCCCTGGCTTATATTATTTGTTTCGGCTGGACCATAACACTATCCAAACTCATCCCTGTCTACTTTGTCAACATGGGACACCTTAACATCACCAATCCCATCAACAAACAGGATCCCTCTAATCTATTTGCTCTCGTCGTACATGTCAAGCAATTGCACTTGTTCTGACTATTTCTCCTCTTGCGTTAGAAGCCTTCATGCCAATGCAGCAAATTACCTATTGGCTCTCTTGATAATCTCAAGCAAAGTTATATTTATTTTCCTGGTTGGTAGGTATAGGATTTGGATGAAAGTGATTCCGATATATATTTTGGTAGTATTCACAGTTCGGAAGATTTCCTCATGATATTATTGTGCCTTGCTCATTTGAGTTTATCTCTTAGCCATCAACATCTCTGTTTCACCATGCTAAGCTCCTTGAGGTGTTTGAATGTAGATTATCCTCAGTAAGGCTAGGGTTCGTTGTTGTTTCCTTTGCTTGTTGTGCTGCCGTGAGGAGACTGAGGCTAGGGTTCATTTTTGTTTCCTTTGCTTGTTGCTGCTGCCGTGAGGAGATTGGGTAGGGGAGCACTGGGGATGGAGGCCTAATGTGGGAGAAGGGATGGTCATGCTCGCTGCCTGGTAGGGCTAGAGTAAGGGAAAGACATGGCCCAGGGATGGATCTAAGACTCGATCTGGGTCCAATTGAACCAGGCCAAGGCAAGAGGACGGGTAGTGGGCTAGGGGCATTTTTGTCCTTTAACAAAGATCTCTCTAAGGGTTGGTTTGGTTTGAGGCCTATATTGGCCTTACCAATATTTGGCAATTTCAATAGTGTTTATTGTCTATTTGGTTTGGAGCCAAATTTTGGCATGCCTAAGAAAATAGGCCATTTCAATAGTTAATTTAGGCTATTTTGGCTTCAATCCAAACACAATTTTTCCTTTGCCAAAATTAGCCATGCCAAAAGTTACCAAAATTTGACATTGACATAAATTGGTAAGGCCAATTTAGGCCACAAACCAAACCAGCCCTAAATGACAAAAATGATTAAGAAAAATGAAGGTAGTGTCCTGTTGTAAAGGCCATGTTTTGGTAGTGTCCAGAAGCAAAGCTTCGTTATTGTGGTGTCCATCATCAAACACCGTATTTTCTGGATGTACAGTAACAAATGCTGCCTTTTAATTTTTCTATCTATTTTTTTGTCTCTATCTTTGAAGACTAATTTAGGTATAATGTTGCTGTTTAGATATACCAGCAGCACCATTTTATAAACCTCTTCCAGTGGTGGAATTTGTGGCTGAGCTTTTGAATAGAACTGATGTCAACCAACTATTTTCTACAGAGGAATATGACAAGGTATTAATTTTTAATCATTAGTCATGTTGCTATTATAATGCAGTTTAGACAATATTAAATTTTGTATTGCTGTTCTTGTAAATGCCAGGTAGAGAAAGCACTGCAGGGTGTTTTTGTTGAAACCACCCATCGAACAGACAAAACCATAAGATACAAGATTAAAGGGCTTTCTGTCGTTCCCTTGGAAGACCTCATGTAAGTTTTGATCTCATACGCTAAGCATCTATCCAACAAAATATTTCCCCCTTAATTATGCTTACTAAAATTTTTCCTTATATTATTTTTAGGTTTGCTGAGGGCGCTAAAGAAAATTTTACTACAACTGTGGTTGATTATTTTCAGAAGCGTTACAAATACAAATTGAAGTACATTTATTGGCCATGTTTGCAGTGTGGAAGCTCTCGTGATATTTTCTTACCCATGGAGGTGCCTTTCCAAAATCTGATTATAAACATAAATATTAAGGTTTTGATTATCAGTTTTTTTTTTTAGGTTTGCAAGATTTTACCAGGGCAAAGGTACTGTCGGAAGCTTACTACGAGACAGGCAGCTAAGCTATTGAAGGCAACTTGTGAACGGCCCCATATTAGGAAGATCGCAATTATGAAGGTATACTTTTATTCTCAGGTGTTATTGGATTTTAGTTATCCAATGCTTATAAGGACTTTGGTACTCTTTATTAGCTCATGCCCGATACTTGTATTCTCAAATTTTGGATTTCTGGCAGGTTCGCAACAACTGTAACGTTGAGAGGTGTGTGGAGGAGTTTGGAATTAGAGTTAATGGTCTTCCTGCCATTGTGTGTGGCCGCATCTTGCCTACACCTGAGGTATTTATGCTGCATTTAGATGCATTTCATTTGAACTTTGAAGAAAAAATTTGTCACTTATTCCAAAATTTAATTGTTCAATCTTCAGCTGAAGTACCATGTCTCCGGGAATGAGAAAACGTGTGTGCCTACTGGCGGACGATGGAACATGATCAATAAGGTGATATCAACTTGCTTAGTTAAATCCTCAACTTTAGTTTGACCCTGGAATCCAAAATTTTGACATGCAAATGAGTAATTGGCACTTCTTAAACATAGTTGATATTGATTGTGCATCCCTATACTTCTTTTCTAGTCATAAAGTCTAATTAGAAAATAAAGCTGAAGTCATGAAATTATTATTGAGATGTCAAGTGCGTTGACACCGAGGATAGCCGGACCGCGGCTATAGAGTTCGTAGCCGGGATCAGGGGCGGCGGCAGGGTTCTTCCCTGCACGCTCAATGGTGAACAGAGGGAGGTTAGGGAACAAGGAGGGAGATTAGGAATTTTGATCTCAAATTGCTTATCTTCAAATGTTGCTGATTACGTGCCTTATAGGCACTTGGCCTCTGATACAAGGAATGACATTTATTTCCTCCTAATTAATACTTTCCTTGCATGATTCTTTCTAAGTTTGCAACCTTGACTCATGCTGCTTGCTGCAACTGTGCCTCCGGCCTGCTCCTGCGGTGGTAGTGGCGCCCCCACATGACATCTCTCCCCCCCTCGACGAGCAGCTCGTCCGCGAGCTGAAAAGAAGGATATCGGTCAAGGAAACCGTCGACGTCTTCCCATGTGGCGGAGGCAGCCGGTTCGCCCTTCCACTGGACAAGGACTTGTCGAACGCCTCGGGCGAGGCGAGAGCGCACAGCTCGCTCCGGCTCGGGAACCACAGCCCCATGGTGTGTGTTGGGCAGTGGTGGCGGTACAGATGGTGGCGTGCCAACGAACTTCTTGAGGAGGCCGACATGGAACACATCATGAAGACGCGCGCGCGGAGGAAGCTCGAGGCGATAGGCGATGTCGTTGATGACTGCTAGGATGCGGTACAGGCCGTAGAACCTGGGCTTCAGCTTGCCCTTGGTTGTGACGTTGAGGGAGGCCGGGTGCGATGGTGAAGGCGAAGCCACACCTAGTCGTTGACCTGGAAGCTAACGTCGCGATGAGTCTTGTCATAGTGCCTCTTGTACACAGCCTGAGCTTGTTCAAGACGATAGCGGACGTCTGCGAGGAACTCGTCGCGTTGCGCCATGCTCTTGGCAATGGCTACCACCCGAGTCTCGCCGGGCTCGTATGAGCGGATGGTGGGGGGGTCTCGACCGTAGACGACCTTGAACGGTGTGTCCTTGAGCGCCGACTGGAACGGCGTGTTGTAGATGTACTCCGCCCATGGAAGCCAACGAAGCCATTGTCGAGGGCGGTCGCCGGTGAGGCAGCGGAGGAACATGATGATGACCTTGTTGGTGGCGTCGGTCTGCCCGTCGAATTGCGGGTGGAAGGCCGACGTCATGTGTAACTTGGCGCCGATGAGACGCATGAGCTCCTTCCAAAACAGGGAGGTGAACACCAGGTCCCTATCCGAGACCATGGACTGCGGCACGCCATGGAGACGAACAATCTCGGTGAAGAATGCTTGGGCCACCGATTCCGCCGAGTACGGGTGCACCAGTGGGATGAAGTGGCAGTACTTGCTGAAGCGATCCACCACCGTTAGGATCACTGACTTGCCGCTGACGCGGGGCAGCGCCTCGATGAAATCAAGGCCGATGTCCGCCCAAACCGCTGTTGGTACCGGAAGCGGAAGGAGGAGGCCCGCCAGATGCAGATGTTCGGACTTGTAGCGTTGGCAAGTGATTCACGCACGAACATGGTCCTGGACGATTGAGCGATGGTTTGGTGAGTGGAAGTCGCGGCGTAGTCGATGGAGAGTGCGCTGTATACCCTCATGGCCATCAGCATGTATCGCAGTGAGTATTTCCTGGAGAAGTGGTGAAGCCGGCGAAATGTAGAGGCGGCCGTCGAACGTCACCATGTCGTCGATCAAGGCCCATGGGGCCCTACGCTGGTTGGCCTGCAGCTCCTCCCTGAGTGCCACCAGTGTGGGATCGGAGTCGTGGGCTTGGCGCAAGTAGTCGATGAAGTCGAACCGAGGCCCGGAGATGGCGAGGAGCATGGTCTCATCGGTGTCGCGCCGTGAAAGGGCGTCAGCCACCGTGTTGCTAGCACCGGCCTTGTACTCTACCGTGAAGTCGAAGCCGAGGAGCTTGCCCACCCAATGAAGTTGGGGGATGGTTGCCAAACGCTGATCAAGCAAGAATTTAAGACTGAAATGATCAGTTCGGACAAGAAAACGGCAGCCCCATAGGTATGGTCTCCAATGGCGAATGGTGAGGACGAGGCCGATCAATTCCCTTTCATATGCCGCCAAGGAGCTGTGTCGTGGTGCCACTGGATGGCTGAAGAAAGCCACAGGATGGTGGTCTTGCAGGAGTACTGCACCGAACCCATGGGTGGAAGCGTCGCACTCGACGACGAACGGTTTGGCGAAGTCGGGGAGGGCAAGGACCGGTGCGGAGGTAATGGCTGACTTGAGGACGTTGAAGGCAGCTGCCGCCTCATCGGACCATAAGAACCCCTCCTTGCGCAGCAGAGCGGTGAGAGGCGCCGCGATCGTGCTGAAATCCTTGACGAACTTGCAGTAGTAGCCTGCCAAGCCGAGGAACCCTCGCACCGCGCGGGCCGAGTGTGGCTGCGGCCAGTCGGAGACGGCTTGAACCTTGGCCGGATCTATGGCGACGCTGGTGTCGGAGATGACGTGGCCAAGGTAGCTTATGGAGGTGACGCCGAAATCGCACTTGGAGCGCTTGACGAAGAGGCGGTGCTGATGGAGGGTGTCGAGGACGGTGCGCACATGCCCGAGATGAGCCGCCCATGAGTCGCTGTAGATGAAGATGTCGTCGAAGAAGACGAGGACGAAGTGGCGTAGGAACGGTCGAAGAACGTCGTTCATGAGGGCTTGGAAGGTAGCGGGGGCGTTGCAAAGCCCGAAAGGCATGACCATGAACTCGTACAGGCCGTCATGTGTGCGGAACGCGGTTTTGGCGATGTCGGCGGCGTTCATCCGTACTTGGTGGTAGCCGGAGCGGAGGTCGAGCTTCGTGAAGAAGCGGGCGCCATGTAACTCGTCAAGGAGCTCGTCGACCACGGGGATGGGGTATGCGTCCTTGATCGTAATGGTGTTGAGGGCGCGGTAGTCGACACAAAACCGCCATGAGCCGTCGGCTTTCTTGACAAGAAGAACTGGTGACGAGAACGCCGATGTACTCCGTCGTATCAGCCCTTGTGTCAACATGTCGGAACATTGACGTTCCAACTCGTCCTTGTGGGAGGCGGGGTAGCGGTAGGGCCGGACGGCGACCGGTGAGGAGCCGGGGAAAAGGTTGATGTAGTGGTCCCTTGAGCGCGGTGTAGGCATTCCCTTGGGCTCGGCGAAGACGGCAGTGAACTCGTCAAGCAGTGCTGCCATGATGTCTTGGCCCGCGACGGCTTTCAGCGAGGGAGTAGCGGAGCCTGCCACGCCGTGCCAGCACACACGATGGTCATGCCGCCAAAAGGACATGGAGAGGGAGCCGAAATCCCACAAGATCGGTCCCAAGGTGTTAACGACGAAATTTGGTAAGCCCAAAGTCATCATCGGCTGAAAGTCACTATCGGTTTCAGAGCTCTAGAAACAGCTGATGGGAGTTGTCAAGTCGCCATGCTATCGTGTTCTTGGTGGAGTCGGATCAATCGAAGGAAGCTTATCTAGAAGACTACGAGTTTAAGGAAGATGCGGCATGGCAGTTTATCTATTAATTAGAAATAGTTTGTTAGTTTCCTTTTATCTTTAGGAAAGTGTGTTTAGTGTCCGATAAGGACTTCATGTTTTCCTTTTATCTTTAGGATAGTTTCTTTCTTGTCCGACAAGGACTTGTATCAACCCATGGATATAAATATGTACACCCGGGGTCTATGCAATCTATCAATCTCGATCAATATAACTACTCTCGGCGCATCGCCACCCTCTTCCCTGAGGTTTTTACTTATCAACCGGCGGAATTTGGGCACCTGACGCGGGGCTGCATCGGCTTTCGATCTCCGGCGAAGGGGTAAGTCCTACGTTCCATCGGGCCCTGGTGAATCTGTCATCTACATCGGCATCGTTCAAGGCTGCATCGCTCTGATCTCTTGGATCGCTCTGATTTGGTTGATTGATTTGCCTTCCTGATATCTCAAGTTTATCTCTAATTCCATTGTGTTTAGAGACGCATCGGTTTAGTTGGGACTGTCTCGGTTAGGTCCGATCTTCTGTCTTAGCCGATATATCTCTACAATCACAATGCTATTCTAAATAGATTTGTTATATCCATCACATTAGACAGATCTATCGGCTCATCGAGTATTATATTATCATATACAATCTCGTGCTGCATCGGTTAGGTTCGATCTACTAGATTGTTGTTGATAATATAAGTCTTGCTAAGCCGATAGGTTCATGCTAATGTTTTATCGGGGTTCTAGCCGATAAGTTATATGGACGTTGCATCGGCTTATAAGGATTACACACAAGTTGGGTTTAGCCGATCGCAACAAAGGTTTCACTGTTTAATCTAATCTTTTGGATTTTATGACATCGGACCTCCAGCCGATGTATGCTTTAACCTTCAGATCAATGCTTATTCTATCATATTGTATTGCTAGCCGATTGGTTTATACTGGATTATATTGTTGGTATATTTTATTATCATCAGTCGATTGCTTTTATATTATTATCTACATTGGACATATAGCCGATTGCTCAAAACCCTATCACTATCGGCTGGTATCGGCATCGGCTGGAATTGCTCCATCGGCTTTTCAGCCGATCGGCTATTTGATCTACTGTTTACGTATCTTATCAGTTGCAAGATCAAACTGACTGGCACGCCCGCATCTCATCAAGTTTTGGACCTGCACTTGAGCTAAGCAGATCTCTCAGGCCAGTGTGTGTTTTTCGCGTCAACACAAGGACGCCAGCCACTGTGTGCTGAGAACGACGTTCTACCCTGCCAATGGCAGTGCAAAGAAGTCGGCGTGGAACGTCTCCCCGTCGATGGAGAAGGCCGTGTTGCGGTAGAGGCCCGGGCACGGCACGCGTTCTCCATTGGCGACCGTGACCTGCATCTGGCCGCGAGGGAGGAGCTTGAGCTTGGTGCGACTTGCAGCTGCCATAGAGACGAACTTGTGTGTGGAACCCGAGTCGAGCAGGGCGAGGAGGTTGGCGCCGCCCATGTTGATGTGCACTTGCATGGTGTCGCTGAAGCGGACGCCGGCGATCGCATGGAGCGAGACGTGCGGGTCAGTTTCGCCTGTCTCCTCTGGTGTGCTGTCGTCATCGTAGTCGTCGTCGGGCGCGGCCAAGTCGAGGAGGAAGAGGCGCTGACAGACGCGGTTATGCCCACGTGAAAACTTGTCGTTGCAATTGAAGCATAGCCCGAGGCGACGTCGTTCTTCCATCTCTGCCTGGGAGAGGCGCTTGACCGTGCGGCCCTCGACGGTCACCGTCGCTGGAGACGGTGCAGTCGGTGGTGGCGGCGCCGGGAGTGCCAGCAGCTGTGGAGGCGCGGGCAGGAGGCCACGCTGGTTGTGGCGCGGAGGCGCGGCGGGAGCGACGCACTGGTTGCGCAGCTCGAGCTTGCGGGCGAGGCTCATGGCGAAGACGAGCGTCTGCGGGTTGTGAATCTCCACGTCGAGGCTGAGGGGCAGTTGCAGTCCGGCCGTGAAGATTTGGATGCGTTGTTCCTCCGTCAACTTGCCCGCGCGCGGAAGGAGTGCCTCCAACTTGTCTTGGTAGTCGACGACGGAGCCGGTGCGCTTGCAGGCCATGAGCTCGCCGAGGGGGTTGGTGTGCAGTGGAGGGCCGAAACGGAGGTGCAGCAGCTCGGTGAAGCGACGCCATGGCGGTGTGCCCTCGTCTTGCTGGACCTGGGTGTACCATAGCTGTGCGGCGTCTTCTAGATTGTACGAGGCTATCCAAACCTTCTCCTCCTCCGCGATCCGCTGCTGGTGAAAGTAGGATTCACAACAGTTGATGAAGGCGAGAGGGTCGGACTTGCCGTCGAATTTGGGAAAATCCATTTTCTGGAATCGCGGCGGTCGGTCGTTGTGGTGCTCGCCGGAGTGCTTGCTGGTGGAGGAGGACGCCTGCTGGAGTGTGGTGACAGATGCCTGGAGCTTGTCGACGTTGGCCGAGAGCGCCTTGATGAGCGCGGCGAGCTCGGTGGCGGTGGGCTCGGACATGGCTGAAGAAATGGAGGGCGTTGGCGATGGTGGCGCGTCGGCTGGTGGTGAGGATGTGGCAGTGCGGGAAGAGGAACGCCTGGAAGCTGATACCAAGTTGTCAAGTGCATTGACACCGAGGATAGCCGGACCGCGGCTACGGAGTTCGTAGCCGGGATCAGGGGCGGCGGCAGGGTTCTTCCCTGCACGCTCAATGGTGAACAGAGGGAGGTTAGGGAAGAAGGAGGGAGATTAGGAATTTTGATCTCAAATTGCTTATCTTCAAATGTTGCTGATTACATGCCTTATAGGCACTTGGCATCTAATACAAGGAATGACATTTATTTCCTCCTAATTAATACTTTCCTTGCATGATTCTTTCTAAGTTTGCACCCTTGACTCATGCTGCTTGCTGCAACTGTGCCTCCGGCCTGCTCCTGCGGTGGTAGTGGCGCCCCCACATGACATGAGAAAGGAAATGGAAGCCTCATGAACTCAACCTAACCTCTACAAACTCCATAGACAAGTGAAGTCATAAAGTGATTATATGCATCATTATTTATTTCTAATTATGGTGTTAGGCTGTGAATCTGCCATCCTATTTCGTACATTGCATTTTTTATTACTTACCCTTGTTCTTCAACATGGCAGTATGTACGTAATGTGCTCACATATAGTGTAATTACATACTCAAGTAGCACACAAGTGAAAGGCACATTTGATAAAACTTCAAATTTCTTTGTTTTGGTTAATATTAGGACATCTGTGATTTGTCATATCTCTGTTTAGCTAGTTGGAGGAAAAGTATTGGAGGCCATTTGTTTCATACATTGAATATGAACCAGGCATTTCAGTCACCACAACAAACAACAAACACGAAATGCATAAATATCCATACATCATATAGTGTGCAGGGTCATAAGTATATATCACCTATGCTTCATTGCAACAAAGTGCCATATTCCCTTTAATTGAAGTTAAAATTCAAAATTGTTAGAGTGCATGTTTTCTGCTCTATATTTTTTTGAGTATGAATTGATTGTTATTTCAGAAATTGGTAAATGGAGGAAAAGTCGAGAGATGGGCTTGTTTAAATTTTTCAAAAGTACCTGCTTCAACAGTTAAGATATTCTGTGGTAAATGATCAAGACGTGCAACTTCCTTGGAATGGTATGCTATTTCCTGCATTGATTTATAATCCAAGTTATTCAAATTGTTGCATATTGCATTAACAATCACTTTATTTTGTGGTTGCAAGGATTTCAAAGAGTGGCCATTGGTACCATTATGGTCTATTAATGATCTGAACATAGCTGCTGCATTGAAGTCTATTCACAGCACTGCAAAAGAACAACTCCAGCTATTAATTGTCATTCTTCCGGAAGAAAGAGGCAACTATGGTATGAAATTATTAATGCTAAAAAACTCTGTGCTTTCTGTTAGCTTTGAGGTGTCATTTTGCATGTTTCTATAGGAAAAATTAAGCGTGTATGTGAGACCAAGCTTGGACTGGTTTCTCAGTGCTGCTTACCAAAGAATGTTAAAACAGATACAAATATAAAATACCTCGAGAATATTGCCCTTAAGATAAATGTCAAGGTACATATGTATCGATACTTTGCTACACATTTTTCCATGTATTGTACTGCTGGTATTTACAACAGTATCTTGAACTAGGTTGGAGGGCAGAATACAGTTCTTCAGCAAGCGTTTGTTCATAATGGAATACCGTTCGTGTCAGACATACCGACAATCATTTTTGGTGCTGATGTTAGCCATCCCCCACCAGGGATGTACTCGTCATCTATTGCAGGAGTAAGATTTTCCCTGTTGCTTAGAATTTGTTTCTGTTTTACTACTATGGCTTCTTATAGGGAAATAAACATTTTGGCTCATTATATAAAGAACTTGAAATTGAACTCAACCTCTTTACTCCTTAGTCCCTCCAATTTTTTTTTGAAAGGATTAGTCCCTCCAATTTTGTTGTGGGTCAATACATTACTTTGTCAAATACTTTTAGGTGGTTGGATCAATCGACTGGCCAGAAGTCACCACATATAGAGCTAATCTCTGCCCAACTTGAAAGGCAGGAGATTATAGGAGGTCTATTTCATTCTACTCGAGATCCAAAAGGGTGCCTTAAACCTGATGGCATGATCAGGTAAGTATCTTCTCTATCTGCGTTTTTTGACTTTTCTATTATTAATTCTCACGTGATTGATTTGGAATCTGACATGTGTTTTGATTGCTGTAGGGAACTGATGATGAACTTCTACCAGAGGAATAGGCGTAAGCCTGAAAGGATAATCTTTTACAGGTGTGCATTGCAAAATAGTGATATATTTATTCATTCTCTTGGATGATGTCTTTTGACTGGTCATTGTTGCTTCTAGAGATGGAATAAGCGAAAGTCAATTCAGCCAGGTTATCATTCATGAAGTAGATGCCATCAGGAAGGTGATGCTTCACATTTATTTGTGTAATTCTGGTTGTCCGCTAAATTTATTTCTGATTTTATCTATTTCCTTTTCAAGGCATGCCTCTCTCTACAAGAGGATTATCTGCCACCAATCACATTAGTGATTGTCCAGAAAAGGCATCACACCAGGATTTTCCCTCACACACTTTGCAGTAATTATACTGAACAAGTTGCACAGATTCCCTCTGGTAAGTAGTTTATTACTCCAGATTGTCCTATTTCAAGATTTTGAAATGGGTGACTTTAAATATTTTCAAACCCAACAATAAACAATTTCAGAAACTCAGTGGTTCTAAATTAAAACTTTATCTCAGTGATTTTAATACAACAAAAACTTTATTTGTATGACATGGTTATATCTGTACAACTCACACATGCAGTTATACATAACAACATAAAATCCACAAAATAAAAATAATAAAAACTTGACCAACACGTGCTGGATGGAATCTTCATGGTGGCAACAGCCTAATTTAGCCCTATAAGCTGCCAAGACAAAACCTAACCTCAGGCACAGTGGAAGCTCTCTAACTCAGAAAGAGCAAGTTAGTAGTTCTGTAGTTTTATTAGGTTTATTTTGCTAACTTTTAGTTCTGGATGTATGCAAGGGAAACCCCTGTAGCCAAATAGAACGCATGCACCTGAGCAAGATAGGATTTTTATCTTATGTTTTTGCAGAAGGACCTTACTATAAATATTGTATATTCGTTCTTTATTTTTGTTTATTGAGAACACAATGTAATACTTGAATATTTTCAGGAACTGTGATTGACCAAGACATATGCCATCCTTCGGGTTTTGATTTTTATTTGTGTAGCCATACTTCTCAGGTATATAAATGTCAGAAAAACATACCTATTTTGTCTGCAATTTAAGCTATTCATTTCAAAAATCTTTAGTTCTGTTTGTTAGATAAAAATCAGCCCATCCGACAGCCCTCCCTCTAGAACCGCGTAGCAAGCCCATCCATCAGGCAGGTCCACTTACATATACCACTGGGCCCACTTACACATACCACCATCCGTCGGGTGGGTCCACTTACACATACCACTGCACTTACACTTTCGTTCTTTCTTCGTGTAAAAGGGTTACACATACCACTGAGCCCACTTACACATACTACTGCACTTACACTTTCGTTCTCGCTTCGGCTTCGTGTAAGGGCGGGTCCACTTACACATACAACTAGGCCCACTTACACATACCACTACACTTACACTTTCGTTCTTGCTTCGCACTTACACTTTTGTTCTCGCTTCGGCTTCATGTAAGGGCGGGTCCACTTATACATACCACTAGGCCCACTTACACATACCACTGCACTTACACTTTCATTCTTGCTTCGTGTAAAAGGGTTACACATACAACTGAGCCCACTTACACATACCACTGCACCTATACTTTCGTTCTCGCTTCGGCTTCATGTAAAAGGTTGCTTCGGCTTCATGTAAAAGGGTTAACCCGGGAGTGATATGGTTGGAGGGATGAGGTCTTATAAGTTAGTTCCACCCTTGCTAGACTAGCAAGGTGGTACTTTCGTTCTCGCTTCGGCTTCATGTAAAAGGGTTAACCCGGGAGTGATATGGTTGGAGGGATGAGGTCTTATAAGTTAGTTCCACCCTTGCTAGACTAGCAAGGTGGTACTAAACATGCGCACACCGCTTTCATGGGCCACACATGCCATATCCTAATTCAAAGGACCCAACTGTCCGTACGTCCGTGTAGCCAGCCTGTCCGACGGGCGGGTCTACTTACATTTACTAATCCACTTACACTTTCGTCCTCGCTTCATGTAAAAGGGTTAACCCGGGAGTGATATGGTTGGAGGGATGATGCTTTATAAGTTGGTTCCACCCTTGCTAGACTAGCAAGGTGGTACTAAACATGCGCACACAGCTCTCATGGGCTACACAAGCCATATCCTAATTGGGCCAAAATGTCACAAGTTTGGGCAGCCATGTCATGCACACATGCAAGGAATAAGTCCTTTAACTTGTCAACGAATCTGATTTTCGTCCCTCAACTGGAAAACCGGACAACGGGTCCCTCAACTATCAAAACCGGTGCACATGAGGTCCCTTGGCGGTTTTGAGGGCGGTTTTGGCCGACGTGGCGCCTATATGGCTAATTTGACTTGGTCTTCATCTGACGTGGCGCTTACGTGGCAATTTGATCCAAAAATAATATAACCCGTGGGACCCACGTGGGCCCCATATGTCATCCTCACTCCTCCCTCCTCTCTCTATTCTCTCTCTCTCCGGCCGATGGAGCGGCGCGAGCGGCGGCCGGCAGAAGCGAGCGACGGGCGGGGCGGAGCGGGGCGGGGCTGCATTTGGCGTCGCGATGGACCTCACCGCGGGGGCGGGACTAGCCGCCGCCGTTGCTGGCAATCCGAATGACGATATGGGAGATGGAGGCCGCCTTCGCTGCCCTCCCCACGAAGGAGGCGCTGTGGGAGAATGGCTGGCCGTTGCTCTTCTCCCTCTCCGTCGGCGAACCAAAGCCAGCCAAGCGCGCGAAGAGGGAGGAGGTGAGTGGGCGGGGGAGGAAGGAGGCCAGCGAGAGGGGCGGGAAGGCCAGACTCCCCCGCGACTGCTGCCTCCATCTCCGGGTTCCGCCCACCATCGCGACCGTCGCCTGGAGACACCTTCGACAGCATCGCTGCCGCAATGAAGCAGGCCTCCCCCGTGGTCGCTCCACCTCCTCCCTCCCTGCTCCGCTCGCCGCCCTCTCGCCTCCTCCCTCCCTGCCCCACCCGCTGTCCTCTCCCGGCTGTGACCCGCAACCGCCCAGCTTCTATCCCGTTGCTCGCTGCTCGCCTTTAGGGAGGGAGAGGGGAGAAGGGAAATGAGGCGTGACCGGAGGAGATACTCCCGACGATGCCGTTGACGCCCTTCTCCACAACGCCAGCAGTCGCCGCCGTCTGCGCTCTATGGCCCCATGTGCCGCGGACCTGACCTAGCCCGCCGTCGGCCGTTGCTCGCCCCGCTTCGCCGGCCAGCCTCTCCGCTCTGCCCGTCTCCCGCTTCTGTCGACCGCCGCTCGCCCTGCTCCATCGGCTAGAGAGAGAAAGGGGATTGAGAGAAGAGGAAGGAGAGAGGATGACATGTGGGGTCCACGTGGGTCCTACCATTTTTTTTTATTATTTTGTGTGTGGAACTGACATGTCGGTCCTATGGGTTTTATTATTTTTCGAGATCAAATTGCCACGTAAGCGCCACGTCAGTGCCACGTCAGATGAAGACCGAGTCAAATTCGCCACATAGGCGCCACGCCAGCCAAAATCGCTCTCAAAACCGCCGAGGGATCTCATCTGCACCGGTTTTGATAGTTGAGGGATCCGTTGTGTCTGGTTTTCCGGTTGAGGGACGAAAATCAGATCCGTTGACAAGTTAAGGGACCTCAGATGAACTTATTCCCACATGCAATAATCACATTGGGCCCACATATTGAACACAAGTAGGGTTGTAGTCTTTGATAAATCGTGTATTATTATTGTAGTTCCGCAAAATGTCCAATTGAAATTGAAGCTAAATTATAGTTTTCATATTTACAATTGTGTGAAATTTGCTTTGTATGATTCGGTACTTCCATGATGGTATAAGTATTAATGAATATTTGTTTATAATCTATTGTATATAATGTCATTTTCAGGGAAACAGTAGACCTACGCATTATACAGTTATCTTCGATGAAAATCATTTCACTGCTGACGGGCTTCAGTTGCTTACACACAACCTATGTTACATGTAAGTTCACGTCCACCTTTGGTTATTTTATTTACTTTTTTGTGCTCACCTTGATTGTTTTTGCCATTTAACTCTAATCTTTTCAATATGTAGGTATGCACGATGCACCCGTGCTGTTTCTATAGGTGAGTCAACTTTCGGTTTATGTTTGATGATAATATCTTTTATCTAGGGTGGTTAACAAAGTATAGATAGGGTACCATTTGATAGCTTACTTTATTGAGACACGAATGAGGGTCATAATTGTGCCCCTTCTAAACATCGTAGCCTTTTTGATCTATCCTCTCAGGTTTCGTGTACTGTACTTTTTCTGGACAAACTTGTTTGTGAACTTTTCTGAAATTAACGTTGTGTGTCTTTTTATTTGGACTATTGAGGGCTACTGATTAGGCTTGAAGTCATAAACTTTTTAACTTTGCTATGCAGTTCCCCCACTATACTATGCTCATCTTGCTGCAGCCCGAGGACGAAGCTATCTCGGGAAGTTTGGCGATGGATCAAGCATCAGGAATGAAGTGTCTTCTGAGTTGCCTGAGTTTCTGAAGGTTCCAAAGATTGCTGATCGTGTCCTAGGCGTGATGTTCTACTGTTAAATGCTTGTGGACTGTGGTGACCTGTCTCCTAGGGTTGTACTCTCTCCTTTCCATACTATTAGACGTTTTGACCTCAACATCTCTTGCTTAGATTTACTAATATTCATTCATATGAATTTTGACTCATATAACATCTATTTAAAACTCAAAACACTTTATAATATAAAACGGAGGAAGTAGGAGTGTGGTATTGTTGTGGAGATCGACGGTTTGAATGAACCTCTAGCTAGCTAACTCACCATCACCACCATTGCCTGAAGGCTGAGCCTCTAGCATCAATATCACAAAGACGGGAGCAGAGCGTCAACATCATGGTAACATTTGCTGCTCTCCATTTATGCAGCTGTTCGCGGACTTGACGCTTGGGAGGATTTGGGAGCACGATGGGCTTTACTCTGGGCCTATACCGACTCCAGGACATCCAATTCTAGCCCACCTAAAATCAACTGGATTACGAGTTTGGAAAGGAAAAAAATACATGAAAGGTTCCTCAACTTGTCACCGAATTATAAAATCGTCACTCAACCGAAAAACAAATATATGACATCTCTTATCTTACAAAATCGGGTCACTCTGGGTCCTTAAGACGGTATTGACCTCGGTTATATCTGACGTGGCGGTTGAGTCAGCGTGGGACCCATGTGGGCCCCACATGTTAGCACCTCGATCTTCTCTCCCCTCATCTCCCATCCTACTTCTCTCCGCGCGGCTGAAGACGAGCAGGGGGTGGCGTGTGGTGGGGAGAGGCGCATGGTGGTCGGTGCCCGGCAATGCGGTTGCCTGAGGACCCTCCCCTCCTCCTCACTGGCCAGCCTATGGTAGTGCGGAAGAGTAGCCCTCCTCCTATGGCCACCTCGCCGCCGCCTACCAACTCGTCATCCCCAGCGCCATCTGACCTCCACCGGCACCATCGAATCCCTATGGCGGCGGCGCAACCCCGCCATCGCTGGCTAGGGTCCTCTCCCCTCTTGGTGCCTAGAGCCCTGTGCAGTAACCGTCGCAACGAACTTCTCTCCTCTTTGCGCTCTCTCCTCGTCGGAGCACCAAGAAACAAAGAGCTCGTCACTGTCTCTTCCGCTCGCCGATCAGAGCGCCAATAAAACAAGACCCCCCCTCCCCCCTCCCCCGCGCGCGCCATCTCTGTCGCTTCGCCGACCCAATCGCCAAGAAACCAAGAGCACCAAGCTCCTCCGCCCGCTCGCTGACCGAAGCACCAAGAAACCAAGAGCCCCGCGCCACTTCCGCTGCTTGCCGGAGGCAATAAAGCAGTTCCACAATGGGCATCATGTGTGGCTGTGGAGCCGCGCCCACGGCACGTACCTCTATGCAGATGACGATGGGAGCAGCGTCTCCCTGCGGTTGGGCCGTGCGTCCGTGCATGAGGCGTGGGCGGTGCACAATGGCGGATCCATAGGGTCGTCCGTGCAGTGATCGACCCTACTATTAAAAAAATAAGAACAGAATAAAGCTCGATCCTGGCGCCCGCACGCCACAAATGCTAATTCGCGCGCATTGCTGGCACGCACTTCTGGCCCACAAGGCCCACGCGCGCGAGCGCGATTCTTTCTTTTTTTCGTGACGTCATTTCTTTTTTTTCGTAGCTGCCATTGTTTCCTTTTTTTTTCTTTTCGCTGTTGACTACCGCACGCGTGTAGGAGCAGGACTCAAGATTTGAAACTTTCAACTCAAGATTTTTTAAAAAATTTTAACTCAGATTTAAAAACTTTCAAGTCAAGATTTAAAAACTTTCAACTCGGATTTGAAAATTTTCTATCCAAACTTGAAAACTTTGAACTTAGATTTAAAAACTTTCAACTCGGATTTGAAAACTTTCAATTCAAACTTGAAAACGTTCAACTCGGATTTGAAAAATTTCAATTCGGACTTGAAAACTTTCAACTCGGATTTGAAAACTTTCAAATGAAGATTTGAAGCTTTCAATTCAAATTTTACAAACATCAAGTCAAGATTTGAAAACTTAACTCAGGTTTGAAAACTTTTAACTCAAATTTAAAAATCAGAGTTGAAAATTTTTTAAATCTTGACTTGAAATTTTTAAATCTGAGTTCAAATCTGGAATTGAAAGTTTGTTTTAGTCAACTTAAGAAAAAGAAGAAAGACGCTCTTAGTTAGCGTTAAGTGCTCTTAGCGTCAAAAAAAAAAGTGCGCCGCGTCACCTCCTAGCGCACGGTCCCAGCCCCATCCGCCGTGGCACGGTCACCACCGTCGACCGAGAGCGCGGCCTCGACGTCCTCGTCGACCTAGGACGGGGAAGGACGGGGAGCACTGCGGCGCTTGGAGGAGGTGGTGGTGGCGGCGGCGGCGAGGGCCGAGGTGGAGGCGGAGGGGGAGACGGAGGGGGTGGCGAGGTAGGACGGGGAGCACCTTCGGGCGGCGGCGCTTGGAGGATGGCTAAGCTCGTCGACTGCGACGAACAGCAGCCATCGATTTTCTTTTCCCTGCCCTTAGCTTTTAGCTCTACACGTCTTTTTTCTTCAGGTTGGTGTCATCTACTTACGTCAGTCAAACGAGCTTCGATCGAGCATTTTTCTTGTTCAAGGTTGTAGCCGACGACTGATGGTTGTGAACTTGTGATCGGTGTGAACTTTGAATGCGGTGTGTGATGGTTTGGTTTGCACAGCTGGTGAATAATCGGACATCTAGCCCTACGATCTTGTCCAAGTGACAGGTGAAAACACATCTCGTCAGATCAAATCATATCGCATTCCTTTCAGTTTCAGAGGATAACAAAAGACAGTATCTTTGATCACTCGCAACGCCTAGTTGGTTGGTTTGTGCCGACAGTACCAGCTGCTTCCAAATGAAACAAAAGGCGGAGGCGGACAAGGGCGTAGGGGAGGAGGGGCGTAGGGGTGGAGGCGGACGAGGGCGTAGGGGCGTAGGGCGGAGGCAGAAGCGGAGCATTGTGGCGGCGGCGGGGGCATGAGAGCCTTGGCACCATGGGCGGCGGCCGCGCGGCCCTCCTCCGCCGCCGTTCGCCACCCGCGGCGCCGCCACGGGGGACCGCCTCACCGCCGTGCTCTCTGCTTGTGTAGCTGCTCGGGAAAAAGGGGAGAAAATGAGGAAGAAGAAAAGGTTGAGGCTGACATGCGGGTCCCACTATCATGCAATCAGAATAGAGAGGATGAATGGAGAGGCTGAAGTAAATAAAAAAATTTAACTTGCTAATTGAACGGAGAGTTAGCTAAATAGATATTTGGAGAGTTAAGATTTCGAGACACTCTTGTATATGCTCTTAGGAGCCCCCCACGCGCGTGGATCGAAGGGAAGGAAAGAAACTGTAGCGTCGCGGTCGCGCGACTTGTGCCGGGCCCAGACGTGCCTCTCTCCTCCTCGCCCTGACGCCCTAGCGACGTGCCGAGCTGCCGACGCGATTGGAATCACGCGATCAGATCAGACTAGCGTCGCGCCGCCGCTCGACCACCCCAATCCGCTCGCTGCCTTGGCCGCCGCAGTGCCACACTGCTGCAGTGTGTGCTGCCGCCACAAGGAGCTGTCGTCGAGCCGAGGAAAACTGGAAAACGAAGCCACGGACTCACAGAGAACTGCCTCCTAACCTCCTGGCTGCAGTGCACCGCCCGCCCGTCCGCCCGCATAGACCCGATAAGTAAAAAATAGTATGGTAATCTTCTTTAAACTTTCATAGTCGTGTAAGCTTCTTTAAATGAAAATATTACTTAATTACTAATTTTATACTCCCTCCGTCTAAATATTTGACGCCGTTGACTTTTTTTAAACATGTTTGAGCATTCATCTTATTAAAAGAAATTAAGTAATTATTAATTCTTTTCCTATCATTTGATTCATTGTTAAATATACTTTTATATATACATATAATTTTACATATTTCACAAAATGTTTTTGAATAAGACGAACGGTCAAATATGTGCTAAAAAGTCAACGGTGTTAAATATTTAGAAACGGAGGGAGTATGTTCTAAGATGCTTTATTAATATATCATTGTAAACTTTTGGTGATTTAGTCTATTATATGCATTGTATATATTAGTATCGTTAGATTTACTTTGTTTAGAAAAACAAATTGAGGTCGGACCACTCATATCCTATATCCTAGATCCGCTACTGGCGGTGCACATATTCCCTCTGTACTCGTAGTACTCGTAAAGGAAGTTATTTTGGACAGCGACACGGTCTCCAAAACACAACTTTGACTTCTTGTTTATATAAAAATATTTATTGAAAAGTGATATATGTATACTTTTATGAAAGTATTTTTCAAGACAAATATATTCATATAATTTTTACATTTTCAAACTTAACAACTCGAAAGTTATTCATAATTTATATTTCTAAGGTTTGACTTAAACATTATCTTAAACGACTTTCTTTACGAGTATGGAGGGATTACTCCACTTTAACGGCTTCCCCATCCTCATGCTCCACAGCGCCTCAAGTGGACGATATCTCGCGGCCACAAACAACACCACTATCGTTCATCGTCGTCGACTGGCTCGTTATCAGGTGAGGATACACACACTACTCTCATAGAAGCACGCCATGGATGGGCTCGAATGAGTCGAGTAGCGTCCAATGTGTCGACGCCGGCAACCCGTGGCACGATGACCGGCACGACGCCGTACGTACCCACGATGAGGTTGAGGTGATCTCGTCTCCCGCGTCATCGCTACCACCACGGCGTCGCCGGCCGCCGGACCTTCTCCTCTCCCGTCGGCCTCCTCCCCACCCACCGGCTAGTCTGCCCAGAGAGGAGAATAGTGAGAGAGAGAGAGGGGAGAGAGTGAGAGGAGGGAAAGAGAGATGATGACGTATCATCTTGGCATGTGGGGTCCACGTGGGGTCTCATGCTAACTCAGCCGACACGTCAGATAAAACCGCGGTCAAAACCGTGTAAGGACCCAAAGTGACTAGGTTTTATAAACTAACTGGGTTGCTCGCGCAATTGCGTGGCTAGCATTCATACAAAATTATCTATTTTTAATATGATTTTGCTTAAAATTTATTAAATAGCTAGTTATCTTCAGACTTTGAAAGACTAAACTTTATCATCCTTGTATATCTAATTTTATAGTTTTGTAAAAGTCACGCTAGTCGCTACCCCTTACTTCTATCACCCCTTCTTTCTTTGCTT